TGTTGTTCCCTTGCCAGGCATATGAGTGCCTATGTGCTTTAATAGTTACTTAGTTTGAAACTTTTTAAGAAATGTTTCTGTATTATGATTATTGCTAGCGAGCTGTACACTAAACAAAAGTTGTCTGTGTTCTTGTCTGTTTTAAAATTATATTGAAAAAGGATATAACCAGAAAGCTTAAGAGCCAATTATAAAAACAGCTTGGCTTCTTTTAGGAAGAAGAGGTACTCCTGAGTGCTGAGCCCTTCAGCAAAATCTCTCCCCAAAAGCAGGTCCCTAGCTGAACTCTTGAAAATCTATTCCTTCAGGCTTTCTTTCCATCTGTTGCTCTGCTGTAACAATAGTCCAAGGCTGGCCTACTCTGCGTGCTGCACCAGGAGATACTTTGCCTGCAATTGAATGCTCTTCCTCCAAATGATTTCTAATGCATTATTTATTCCATCTATTTGGCATTATCTTATTTTGGGACATGCCAGAGCCATTTAAAACACTGTAAATTACTGTGATGTCCACAAGAAAAAGATTACTGTGTGAGGTAAAATATCCCTGTGGCCAGCACTTGTCACGCTTGCTTAATGCTTAGCAGTCAGGCTGTGTTGAGCCTACGGGCTCAGAATTTGTATTCAGCATCCCTTGCCCAGAGCGTATGAGAATGACCCCTTTTGTCCTGTCTGTTATTATCAGGCAGCTTTGGAAAATGAGCATTGTTGAATGAAAAAAAAGCAGCAGATGACATTTTGTTTTCTGCATGAACTAGTATATAGGTTCTTTGTTTTTCAGAAATGGTTTTCAAGAAGATGTGCTAATATTGCTGCTATTCTAGCAGTAGTTCTTTTGTTCAAGCTGGAATACAGATTTGTGAGAGTTGGGGTGCCCATTTATATTAGTGAGTTCTTTCCTTGTAAAATCTTAAAATGCCTAAAATAAAAATATGTATATTCTAGGCAAGTCTCTTTTTTTAATATTACTGTAACATTCCTTTCCTGGAGCACCATCTTATTTCTATTAAAAAAAGAGTAATATTTTCAGAACAATAAGTTTTGAAAATTTTTGTCTGTTTGCTGAATTACACTTAACTCTGAATAATTACACTCACTATTTTAACCCAGTAGTGAGCATGGGTTAGGGACTCCTGTCTGTGTTGACCACAATAGGCATGTCTTTTGATTTGAACTGTGTGTCACCAAGCAATAGGTCTGGAGAGCCAATATTTCGAAATACAGCTATCACACGTACAGGTCTGGCAATCTTCTGACTTTGGAGTCTCTCAGTCATCCTTCTTGTTTCCTCAGCTTACCAGAAAGCTTTTCTGCATTACTGACATGCCACTGAGACATGGAGGCTGCCAAACAAGTGGCCTACATTGTGTCAGTAAACAATAACATGAGAACTGGGCTCACAGAATGGGTAGGGTTTGACAGTGAGTGTCTTCTGCATACAGGGGTTTGTTGACATTTTCCGGAGGGATATGGGAATCATTTGAGAGCCAGGAGTCTCAGCTGTATTTTCAAGTGTGCCAGCATCCTGACTAGGTGGATTCATACACCCTAATTTTTAATCATCCACTTTTAGTCCATGTCACTTAGGGGCTAGTCTTTATTTAGTCACTTATGAAGCAGTTTGGCTCCTTTTGGACTCAAAGCAGAAGACGATACTGTTAGTTGAGTCATTCTCACAGTGCTTCATGTATAGAAGTATGTGAGCTCAAGTGGGTAAATAGGTTCAGCTGAACAAAGGATACATCATCTTTAGCACTAGTTTGATTTTTGTTAAGATTTTTAAGATTCTCTAGAGTGATGTTGCAAAGTTTGGTTGTTTCAGTAACAGAGAAATAGCAATGATACTGGTCATCTTCTGCCAGCTGGATGAAGGTAGCTTCAAAATGTCAGATGCCAGACTGCGAGTGGGATATATGAAGAGGGTGCTAATGACATAGAGGGCTTGAGCACATAATACTTTATGAAACTAAAATTAAGTGCTCTTGCAGCTTCTCCTCTGCATGCCTACCAGCATGTGGCTTCCAGCTGAGCTCCAGGTAAGTTCCTAGTCAGATGCTTATGGGGAGGTAGCAGGAATATATATAGAGAGGGGATGAGTGGGCAGGGAGACACAGACTTGGGACAGCTGAAGCTGACTCTGAAACCAGAACTTCAGACAGAAACTTCCTACGCACCCTTTCTCATCCATTAACTGCTGCTCAGCAGTGCACAGCCTGGGCTGGCACAGCTAAATACAGAACCGTGGGAATCCTGTTTCCCAATTAGAGGCTGACCTCAACTGAGTCCCTGTATGGATATGCTGGAATTACTTGGCAGTCCAGCTGTGGCTTCCTTAGAAGGGTAGTGAGGGGAAACAACTCGAAGGCAGAAAAACAACTTCCTTATGTTCTTGCTGGTAGCAGTCAAGCTCTCTGGGTTTGGCCCTGTGCCCTGTAACTGCCAGTGGAGTCCCCTGGCAAAACAGAAAGCAAGCCAGTGGAAGAGGGCTGGTTTGATGGCTAGACTAAACAGAGGGTTATTACCAGGACCTTCCAGTTCAATTAATTTTGTTTTATGTGCTGTTCTTTATGACACACTTTATGGTTCTCTTCCCTTTCTTCAGCATTTCCCACCATTCTTGTACTCATTGCTGCAAATACTTTAACTAACTAGTAGTAAAGTCCTGGTTAACTTCACTGGGGTGCAGACGTGTTGCTTGGAAATGTATTGGCTCATGTATAGAACTACCTGTGGCATAACAGGCCCATGCACATCAGGATGTAACTCTCTGAATGGACAAGGGATCTTGTCAAAGACCTTTTGGCACTCTGTAGGTTGGCAAATCCTCATCTATATTGTTACTCACTTCTCAAGGAATACTTTGCAAGGCATGAATTACAGAAATAAAGTTGTTCCTTCCCCAGTAGATTGGATTTATTTGCATCTACTAATTCTGTTGTTAGTCAGTTTGTCAGCTCTGAAAGACTCAGTCTTGCTTTTCTTCTGAGGGGTTTTTGTAAAGTATAATGACTCTCATTTACCTTTTGATTTAATGCTTAGGTTTATTTGAGTGGTAGGTTTTTTACCACATATAATAAAGCAGTGAATTTGAGTTTGTGTAGAAATCCTGGGTGAAAGCTGTCTGGCTTGTAGATATCATAACTTTAGATTTTGTTAGGTTTTGAAAGAAGGCTCTTTTACAAGTGCTTAAGTTTGAGGCAGTTCCTTGGAGCTGACCTTTCAAAAGTAGCTCAAATTCAGAAGTCACTCCAGGTATATACATAATGAATATAAATGCAAAAATCGGAAGATCATGGAAGTTTCTCCTGCTCTAAAAAAGTTTGTATCATAAATAGTTCCACAAATTAGTTGCCAACAACTGCAGGTACTTTTAGTATATTGAATCAGGTGTATTTCCAAATAAGGCCATATTTAAGTTCTGTGTGGGGCTTGCTCTTAGGCCTCTGAAGTCCAGCATTTCCCATTGCCAGGAGACGAAGTGGTGGTAAGTTAGTAGAATCCATGAGTTCTATTTTGGTGATAATAAACTTGTGAAAATAACTGGAAATAACTGGACTCCACTCTTTTGTGTGCTGCTGTAATCGGAAGAGGATTTTACAAGATTCTTTAATGTAGTTGGAATGTATGTGTAATCTTTTGACCTTGTTCTTTGTTTTTGATGACGATGGCATGTTAAGTGCTGATAATTAGGTTTGCTTTAGGCTGAAACCTGACCTGCTCTCTGCAAAGGAGAAGATCAGATCTTCTGTTGTAAGAGGCACTCAAAGGGGCTACCTTAGCAATTGCAAGGCCATGACTGCTCAGAGTAAGGATCTTGGAAATATGGCAATTTCTTAGGAAGGACATGCTGTCATAAGGAATGCTTCTTTTCAAGGTTAGTTTGAACTGGACTTTTCGCCCAAAGCTTTTTGTCCTGTTCTCTAAATTTTCTTTTTTATGCCATCAGGTTTGCTGCATAACTCAAGCTGCCCTACTGCGGAAGCTGCCTGGTAGCTTCAGCTAGTGGAGCGTGACTCCCGGGTATGACAGCAAGAGGCACATGCTTTTCACTCAGTTACTGGAAGGGGATTCAGCTCTCCTTGTTTAAGACACATGCAAATGAGGCCTCTTAATCCAAACTAGTTTTTAGCTTCCTTCTCCACCCTTGGGGAGAGGGAGAGATCTTCGGGGATTTTTTGCATCCATATATCAGTGTTCAAAATAGATGTGATTAATTGTCCTACGGAATTGTGTGTCTCTTTCCACTGTGTAGAGACGAAGCCTAAAAATTAGCTTTGTCTCACTGTCAAATTTTTAGAAAACTAAATTTAGAGGAAGTTAATCCTGCCCTTGGTTCAAGAAAGTACTGAGTGACATTTGTAAATTGTGCAAATAGCAGTCTGTCCAACCAGGTATCTTCCAGTCCCTGCTCGCTTCAACTTAAATGTGATGTAGTCTTTCTACCACATCTCCTCTGGGAAGGATGAGGGGAGTGTCTAACAACTTTATGAAAGGTGTATGCAGCAGTCAGAAACAGCAGCAGGCACTGGCAAGGAAATGGAGCCAAAGAGATTTTTTAAAGCCTGTCCAAAGGTATCAGTGCAATGGACCAACCCGCACTTTGTTTTTCAAGCCACCCTTTTCTGTCTGTCTATGACAGTGTTGTTGGAACTGATTGTCTTTCTTAGTCTAAGCTTTCTGTGTGGGAGAGTAAAACTGCTTAAATATGATTGAGTGAGAGTTTGCACAGTACAGCGGTGTTAGCCCTGCTCCTCCAGTTCCCATTGGGTTCCTTGATAGATCTTAAGAATACAAAACATGAGCACAGGTAGAGTATGTCAGACCAACAGTCCCTCCAGCTCAACTCAATATTCTGTTCCTGCTAGCAACTAACAGATGCCTATGTACCTTTCTCGAATCCTTTCCCAGCCTCCACCTATTTTCAGCTTATGAGACTTTGTAGCTATAAATCTTTCATGGTATATGAAGAATTGCAGAACTTTGTTGTCTCTTATGTTTTAGAACTAAAAAAAAAAAGGCAGCATCTGCTACTCCAGCCAAGGAAGAGAAGCCCAAATTAACCATTTTTGAAGAGGAAGTAGATCCAGATGAAGGACTCTTTGGCCCAGAAAAAGATTTCTCATCAGTTGGTCCCAGGAAGAAGATGAAAGAGAGTAAATCTATTCTATATTTGTATATGCACAGATTGTTTTATCTAAGGCATGAGCTTTTAAAATGTAGTGATGCAGAGTATACAGGCTAAATAATGACTTGGGAATATTAAGACAAACCTTCAGCTGGGGCAGAATCATCTAGAATCATTCAGAAAGAATAACTAAAAGACCTGAAGTTCCCATAGATGTTCACTGTTGACATTTTGGCCTGGGATATTACAGGTCTATGGGAGCTGGCTGTCTCACAGTCACTCATCTCACACTGACAAGAGTAATGTGACATACTTTTGGGTGCAAGAAGAAAGCAGATTTACTAAGTCCCAAGAGTGCAGAGAATCACTGCACTTTCTGGATTGGAAATCCTTGTAAAAAAAGAATTGTCTACATCTTTTTTTTCCAGCCCAGTATCCAGATTTACTAGCTAGTGTTCATGCAGATACTGTGTTATGTACCATGATCTAACTACAGCATTTTCTGGTTCCCCTTTCTAGATCTGAAATTATTTGAAGATCCAGACCTTGGTGGGGTGGTAAGGCTGGGTGACTCACTATTGCTGCCAGCTGCCTGTAAGAACAAGGAGTATGTGCTGAACCCGGGTCCTGAGGAGGACACTGAGGAACTGTTGAGGTATGTGTCTCAAATCTGTTGTGTAGAATGAAGGTGATCTGAGGAGTTATTTGGACTTCAAATGAGATTAGTTTGAGGGCAAAGCTTAAATAAACTTTGAATGCTAACTGTGAATCACTTGTGCTTACAAGTAAAAGGTAAGAAAGATCTGTGTCGTGGAGCTTGGAAATCAAACACAGTAAAAAGGAAATTAGGAAGATCCTTTGAGAAAGGAAGGGTGCAAGGTATTATTCTGTGACTCAAAGCCAGGGTCTTGAAGGCCCAAGGCATGCTATCTAGTCCTGTTTTTCTAACATGACACTTCTGCTTTCTGCAAGCAATCCCCAGGAGAAAACTGACCTTTACTATGGAAAGTTAGAGTCAAAGCCCAGAAACAAAGAATAATTCAGCTTCAATGAGCTGAAATCAGGGGCTTTTGCCACATGAGGAATAGTTTTCTGCTGATGGCTCACAGGTCTCTCTGCACACTTCCAGGAGGAATCCTGTGCACACCTTTACAGCTGTAAAGGACTCTCATTAAAATCTGTATCACCCTGCATTTAATTTTTAATCTAGTAGAAATGGGGGCTGGAGGTCAGAGTTACAGGAGGGAATAATGTACTTGCTCTTACACTTACATTTACCTGCCCACCTTGATAGTGTAGCACTGTAATGTATCATCATGTAATGTGTTTTATCCCTGACATCTCTCTCACAAGGCTAATTTTCCTGAACTGATAATCCTCAAGAGATCAAGAAGGAGTCAATGCTCAGAGAGACCAGCATCAGCAGGGAGTCTGTACTGCCGTAGAGCCAAATTTGTGTCTTCTGGATCTTATGCTGGCACCTGAATGATGAGGCCAGCCTGCTTGCGGTGCTCATTCTTGCCAGCCAGCTGCTGTTAGGATGTATGATTTCCGCAGCAGGTACTAAACCCAGGACAGAGAATCTGTGTGTGGTTTCAAACCTCTCCCGAAGCAAGTAGTTTTGCAGCTACTGCTTCCTGTGCACGCAAAAGTGCTAGTTATCTCAGTGGTAATACCTGACTTAATTTAAGCAAAAGTTAAATTGGGCTGGGTGCCATCTCGCATGACATGCTAACAGCCCACCTGATGTTTACAGAAACTGATGGGGCAGGACATGACCTGATTTAGTGCTGTAGTATAATGGGAGCAAACACATATGTTCTTGCAATACTTTCATGTTTTCTTTCTCCTCTGCTAGCGATCTCAGCATACAGCACCCTGATTCAGATTGTACGTACAGCTAGAAGTGAAGTGCCCATTTCAATGCAGTCCTTGCATTACCCACTAGCAGAAAGAGCTTCTCCATCTGTCACGTTAATGTCCTTTGGATTATATGTTTTCTCTTCCTCCATGGCAGAGAAAGGTCTTTTGCTCTGAAACCAATACACCATGCTTTTAGGTCAGTTTGGGGTCATTCATCATCATTAGCAGCACACCTAGATGGTTATGAAAACTCATGGGAAAAGATTTCATTTCGTTTGAATTCTAGAAGTTTTCATTTATTCTTGAATTGCCCCAGTGCTTTCAGTAGTTGACAAGTCATCAAAATCCAATTGGAAATGAATACTTGTAATGAAGCAGAAAATCAAGCCAGTGGGCCAGTGGGCAAGTTGCTACAGCAATCTAGAGGCAACTGTTGGCTGTGGTCAGGATCTGGTGACCTGTTCAGGTCCCTAACACCCTCTGATCCCTGATAAGCCTAGTTCACAGTGTTATCTGCACATCATAGAGAGCTGTGAACTGAATGCAAGGTGATTTAGAGTAAAGGAGGAGCTGTTAAGGTGGGGAAGAAGAGTGTCAGTGCCATTTTAACCTAGTAGAATACTTCACCTCACCTCTATGTAAATTCTTTGCAGTCACCTGAAATTCGGTAGCTGAACTTTCTCAAGTGATTATGCACAACACATTTTGATTTCTGCTCAGCTAGAAGTCTTAGAAGAAAAGTCAGGTCTCATAAATCTAGAGGCAGCATTTGAATCATTTCCCACCTTCCCTTAGCAGCAGACTGGTGTTATATGTTCTTGCAGGGCAGTGCCACGTCTTTCCAGGCAGTGACCCTTTGTGGTGAGAGGAAATGTTCAATGTGAGCTGAACCCTGCAGTAGCTTGAGCATAATTTGAGGTCTAAGAGTAAATCTTGACTTTGACCCGTAGATGCTGACAATCCCTCTTCCTTCTCAGAGGGGACTGAAGAAATTTCCCCCCAGGCATCAGATCAAAGTAGGAGCCATGACAACTTATTCCTTTAGTGAGCTAGAGCTGGCTAAGCTAGTAGAGGAAAAGTAGCAAACATCTTGGTCTGTTGGACATACTCTCTTATACCACACAGAAAATTTGCCTGGACACATTTTGTCAAGACCTAAGACCAGCCTGAGCTATGGTGCACGAGCCCGTCTGTGGTAGGTCCAGAAACCTAGACATGTTTGCTGTACACAGATAGATAGCTGAATAATGCAAATGTCGTAGCTCTTGACTCATGAGGTCTGCTCACATGCATGTTGTAGAGCTGAGAAGTGTCTGACTTCCTGGAAAGTGCATGTTCCAGTGAATCATGGACAGAGACAGGAGAGCAGTGCGTAAGGCAGAACCTTCTTCCAAAGGGGAGATGGGAAAAAGATGATGTTTAGAACATCAGAACATGGGAGCAACCAAGGCCTTCGTGATCTGTATGGCACCTGAGTGGTTGCAGCAGCAGTAGCACCCCAGCACTGTCAGAACACCAGTGAATCCCCAGCAGTGACTTGCAGCTCTTGAGGAAGTGACTGTTACGGAGACAAATGAGTCTGCAAAATGTGTGTGGGCTGTGCTTGTCACAACATGAGGGAGAAGAGAATATGATAAACGTTCTCATTGCAAACTGAGGACTGTGCTCTCTGTGGGTGCATGATGAAATGAAATGAGAATTACTGTTTCAAATAGAAACTACTACTTTACGTTAACAAGTGTTGAGTTTTGAGAAGAACTGATTGTTTTGTAAGTGTAATGAAAGATTTCTTTTTATGGCAAAATACTCATGTCCATTCAAACAAGGATCATCCCTCTTCTTGTCCATTGACCAGCCTTTTACTGGTTACTAATTTTTTTGGCCTATCAACGTATACTAAGTGATGGTGATGAAGAAACTAGATGAGCTACCTCAGTAACCACTGGCATTGCAAGCACTCTTTGGCGCTCTTTCCTACCATTAAGTCTTCCACAGTACATGTGTGAGGTGCCTGCAGAGCACTGTACTTGCATGTTCTTCCAGAGCTTGTGGAAAAGAGATAAACTGCTGTGTTAGGAACCATCAAGGTCAAGTCCCATCATGTTGCCTGCAGGAGAAAAGGAGCACGTCATACTCTTCCTTCATGGGATGTGCTTTGTGAAAGGGAGGGTAAGCGAGCAAGCCTTTTTGGCTTATCTTTTCACCACGGGGATGTGGAGAAACCCAGGCTTTTCAGAGAAGTCCAGGGTCGCATTATTTTTTACTCTTCCAAGGTGCAAGGTGACCAACTGCAGTTGATAGCTTGGTAGCTGATCAACCCTTTCACAGATGTTAAACAAATTATCCTGGGGAATGATTTAGGACCAGGCCTCTCTTCTACAGTCTTTTTCCGGGGTTGTGTCGCAGCATTTAATGATTCCTTCTGGATGCATTCAGACATTTACTTCCTTCCTCAAAGCTCCTCCTCAGTCTGATTTCCATTTGAGCTAGAGACAGAAATCAACTGCTGCAGAAATAAGTATCCTGCCAACTCTCCTATTGTGGATTCTTATCTCATCTTATTTTCTCATCTCCATCCACCCAGTGGCCACAGATGTTCAAATTAAGTTTTCATGCAGCAGGACTGCAGTCGACCTCTTCTGCCTCATTAATCTAAATTGTGCCTGCCTGGTGTGATGGATCAGGTTTTTGTGAAAAACCAATGCTAGAATTGATCCTGTGAACATTGCAGCAGCTCTGTGGGTCCACAGAATTACATGAATTATCACATATCCTAGCCTGAAATAATTGTCACAGTTGTCTGAGCAGCTTTTTAGGAGAGATTTAACTTCACTTTTGATAATGAATAGGGAGTTGAACTGGAAGGAAGCAGCTGCCAGCGTAGCATTTGTCTTTTTCTAGTCCTGAGAACAGCATCAGCAGCAGATCCCAGTTCTGCTGCCTTGTGATGGCAGACCTGTTATTTATTCTCAGGATTACGCTGATCTAAGACTGCTGATGTTGAAAGGACAGTTCAGCTCTTACCTTCGTGCTACAGCTGTATCAATCTGCCTGTGTCCTTAAACGTTTAATTTTGTCTGGAGTTACAGGTAGATCTGTTTTTACAGTTCCGAGCTGTGCCATCAGTGATGGAAATGATAACCCTTTCAGGAGGATTATATTGTTAGATGCTGAAGCTGTTTGTGAAACCACATCCTAACTGTGGCCATTTCTAAACACTATTCAGTCCATACAGCTTCTTGAGCAGGTTTGTTAGCTTCAGGTTTGACAAGGAACTGATGACATCCTTGAAGCAGAAAAAGTTTTTATGTTCTTCATTCAGCAGGCCATTCACACGTGCCAGATTCAGAGAGCAACACTTCCATCCTCAGACTAGTCAGGAGTCATATGAGACACCACATCCAGCACCACATGATGAGAAACGCTTTCTCACTGTCCTGAGGATATGGGAGCAGCACCATAGTTGGGTTGCGGAGGAAAGTAGGATCAGGAGAGGAGATACCTCCTACACAGCCCCCTGTGCTAGCACTCCTGTGCTTAACACCAGCCTGTATAATTTCCACAGGCCCTTGCTAGACATCCCGCTCTCTCTACTGACCATAGCAGAAGTGATGGTCAACAGATACTTCAAAACCTTCTTATTTTGGGGCACAAGTCTTTTCCCAAGTAATATATGTGATATTACACCTCTCCACAAGGCTTCAGTAAGGTGTCTCTCAGGCTCGGAATTAACACTAGACAAAATAAAGACACCAGTAATGAGATAGGGAAAGATAAATGTCTACTCCGCAAGAACTGCTGAGAGTTGCATAACCTAGCTGGAAGCACAATTCTTTTGGATATTTTAGCAAATGGTAGTCTTCGTCTCTTGCTTTCATTACTGTTCACCTCATTAGATTATTCCTAGCAGGCAGAGGTCACTGTCACCATCATACTAGATGCTGTACAAGCACTAGCACGTAGTCGTTCCTGTCCCAAAGTTCTTGTCCAGATAGACAAGACAGAGTTCAGAGGAGTGTCATCTAAACTACTGATGTTCTGGTGGCAGCTGTCTCATCTCCCAAGTCAGAACTCGTTTACTCTCTCTTACATCCACATGCTAGCAGTCATATCATAGGGCTTTGTGACAGCCTTTCTTCACTAAGGGTTTTGATTGCTTTCTGTATCTGGAAACAAAGAGGATTTTCCGCCAGTGGAGTCTGTGAATCAGCACAACAGTATGGCAGGAATTTTAAACAATGTGGTGCTGCTTTTCCATTACAGAAAAAGAAAGAGACTAATTAGAGAATGATTAATTACATGGATTCTGTGCCTGATTGTCTATAAAAAAGATGGGGGTGGGAAAGTTCTTCCTTTAATCTTGTTATTTCAGAATAGCTGATTGATTTTTTTCGTCCTCCTCCTAGCCTGTAGTTAAATATGGTGGCAGTTATGCACTGTAACAATTCATTTGCTTCTCAAGAAATAGAAGTCCTTGTTTCTGTCTCTGCCTGAGGCATTTTGCATTTTACCTTTTTAGTTTTCCAAAGACAATTGTGTCTCACAGGATCAAACAGCAGTGGATCAAACAGTTTGCCTAGCACTGCAGCACTGAAAAGCAGGTTTTGAGACAAAGACCACATATTATCTGTTGTGTTCTCTGTAAAAGACTTCCATCTAACCAGTGTCTTGAAAAAACCCATGACAAGAAAAGGGTATTTACATGATCAGCTTCCAGACTTTGAAAAATCATCTCCTGCAGAATTTTTGGCCTGAAAGCACACTCCCAAAATACCACTACATACATACACTCAAAACCCCCACAGCCTACTGGCCTGCATCTTTGGGGTATTTTATGACTGTGCTGACTGCTTTTGTTGCTGTAGTTAGCACAATATAGAGCCACAGAAGAGTAGAGAATTCAGGATGCTGTACCATCTGGTCAGGTTAATGAGCTGTATTTACTGCTACCACTTCTGGACAGTACACCTAGTTTAAAATCATGCCTCTTCCATATGGTCTGTATGTATATGTATGTATTTTTCATCTGGTTATTACAGTTTCTATTATTTATGCCCAAAACTTTATCACATGAACACTGATTCATTCAGTATATTTTTATGCCAAGAGGGGAAGCATCAGACCAGCTAAAGAAAGCTAAGCTTCAGAAATACCAGCCCTAACATGTTTTGTTTATAACACAGCAAAGAGAATAAGAACATGTCTTGGCAGTGTGATCACAGGTGTGATATCTTTGGATATCAGAGTTTGCAGCAAACAAGATGTCTGAGCTTAAATTAAATTAATTTCTTCTAGTAGATGAGGAATTTCAGAGGAAGAAATACACTGACAAGATGTTTTGTAAGTTATGTGGGGTACGTCGCCCACAGGGTATCATGGAAACTAAAAGACATCAGAAATCTTATCTGAGTAAAAGAGAATATAATCTCCAGCATTACTTGAGGCATGAAATTTGGGGAGCTGCCTGCTGGAATACAAGTCCACAAGGAAGAGTTGAAGGTACAGAGCTCTGGGACAGTGGCACTGCTCTGTCCATCAGTTGGTCTGTTTAAGTATTTCCTAGTTTTAGATACCTGTTACAAGATAAGCCTTGGTTAAAGTTGTTCCTTTTTAGATTCCCTTTGGGAGCCACAAAAAGATCCAGCTTCAAGAATGGTTTTACCTTAAAGTGTTCTGACTGTCTATACAGCAGAAAATACAGACTTATCCTTGTTCACTTTATGGCCAGTTCATGGTCAGTGTAGTTTGTCTCAGCCTGGGCAGCACAGTCAGAAGTTTCTCACAGCTTTTAGTAAGGGCAAACAAAAAAAGAAACCCTTGAAATCATGCAGTTTTTCTTAATAATAACAGGATGCTGGAGTATTGAAGTACCTGAGGTTTTAACATTCAAACAATGTTCAGTAGGGATGGAGTAATAAGGTGTCTCAGAGACACTGATTCTTCTGTTGAGCATGTTCTCCATGGTCCTGGCCAGTTACCCAAATCAGTTGCTTTCCAGATTATGGAAGATCTCAGTTTTGCTTTAACTGCCTACATTATTTAACTGTAGTTTTGGCTGAGGCAGAGGGAATTTTACTGCTGGCACTGTTACAGCCTAATGGGCTGATTCAGTTGATATTGAAGTCTGATGAAAACAGTTCTTACAACAGTGACTGTGAACAATTAAACAGTTAAATCATTTCACTGCTTAAGATGCTACAGTCACAGAGTAAGTGTGTCCCACTAGAGCTGAGGTCTGGCAAGGAGGTACCTACATATGACAAACCTACTGTTCCTCTTGACCTTTGGCTCCTGGTCCCTCATGAAAAAGTTTTTGCTTGTGCTTCTTATGCTTTACCTTTCCTGATTTTGTATGCTGCAGTTAGAGGTGGTGCCTTTTGCAAGCATATAAGGTATACATTTTATCAGGTGCTTCACTTTTGTAGCTAGTTGTTACACAGCTAATCATCTGCATGGATTGCTGGTTGGATTTTTGACTGCTTAACAATTATTTATCAATTAATCCTTTGGGAAATTAACAACTGTGTTTACTCCTTAAGGTATTTTGTTTGACCACCATGCTCAGGGGACCAAAACAAGGGGCTATTTTGATTCAGGGCAGAAATTACTGTTACCTGAAAAGACTTCTCTAGCTATGCTAATTTTAGCTTTGCCATCTCTGCTGTATCTTTTAGATGTAACGTGTCACCACCTTCTTTCCCTTTCCTCCATATCCTCACTTTCCAAAGGCAGACACCTCTTGGAGTCACAAGACAATCTGTTATAAAGGCTCTCTCAAAATCAGTAACAACTTCTATGGGACCAGTCGGGCATGTGCAGCATTCTGTGTCTCTTGATAAGGTCAAATAATCCAAGTAGAAAACATCCTTAACTGTTTCAGGTGTTTGAGCTTATTTCACTAGGAAACAGGGGGAAATGTTTTCCAAAAAGACTTGTATACACTCACAGATTGCAGAACTTCACAAGTTTCTTGGAAACAAACATGAACACAATATTTTTAAAGCCATTAGTTTTTCCAGTTTCTCATGATTGAGCATGGGGGATGCTCAGTCTCAGATGAGATGGGAATGAAGAGGAAGCAGAGCTGAATGTGAACAATTTTACTGTCCCATGAAAATCTCTGGGAAGCAAATCATCCTGTCACAAATCAAACACATTTTTTCCCCAGACTAAAGTTCTTTTTTAGTTTAGACATTTGAAAACATCATTTAAAATTAATTAACTTGTACAGAAAACTGAAAAGCCACATTATAAAAAGACAATTCTTATTTTGGTAACATGGAAACTTTTATGGAAAGCTCTTTCTAGAAGAGAAATTAATAGAATTTGTTCCTTTTCTGTGTAACGTTTTACTTTCCAAGGCTGCATTTTCTTATAAAACAAAAGCAGTTCAGAAATTCCCAAGATGTTACTGATGTTTTCTTTTTATTCCAGAGTTGAAGATGATTTAGAGAAACTCTTGAAAGTAACCTCCAAACCAAAACCTAAGGTAGCATCAAAACCACCAGTGCCTCAGAAGCCAGCAGTTGCTCCAAGGAGCACTAATTCATCCCCACTGGCAAAACCAAATGAAAACAGGATTCAGACAATGAATGACGTGGACATTCTCCAGTATATCCAGGAAAACGAATCTATCAACAACCAAGATGCAAGTCTCTTTTGAACATACATATTCTTAAAATGTACGTAAATATACTTAAAATGATGCCTTCTTGACCCAACTCCTGGTGAGCTCAAGTGACAGTAGCAATTGTTGACCAGATGCTTTTACTGTCACAGAGCTCATTTGTGTGCTGTCATACAGAGAGCAGCAAGTTTGGCTACCAAAGGCTCAACATGATATTTTCAAAACAGAGCAGTTGGGGTAAAATGTTGCCTTAGATTTCCAGGGGTTTGCAGGGAATGTGGACAAGGACATAGCACTACAGATTGTCTACTACTGTTTTAGTATCAACATAGTGCGGTTTTGGCCAGTTTAGTTGTGACTGAAAATGGTAAGCATATTGCATGCATGGCAGCTGTGAATAGTGTCCAACAAATGATCTAAGGCAGGACAGGATGCCGTTCCTGTCATTGAGCTGACAGTGTATTTCAGCTCCCTGGAAAGCTCTTTTTCCTTTCATCCTGTGCATTATTTTTGTAGCAGCTCTTTCCTTCCTGACTTGTATTTCAGTAATCTATAACCAGGAACTATTAAACATAGGTAACAGTTCCTCTGTTACTCAGAGAAACACTGAAATTCCAGCTAAGCCTGACGATCTGCTGCCTTTGTTCTTTTGCAAATGCCAGCTTATAGGAGAACTTGTAGGACAGCAAACACTAGAGCTATGCATCTTTGGCCCTTGGGGAGAACAGCAAATGACTGAAGATGGCTGAGAGTGCACCTCCAGACGTATGTAGAGGTTGCAGTGTGAGGGAGGTTTGGATATTGTAGGGCTCTTGTGAACCTACTAAAGATACACAAGGGCTAATTTTTTTCCAGCCACGTCTTCCTGGGCTTCCACTGTCCTTAGTGGAGAGGAAGAGATTTGTCTGGGAGTTGTTTCAGAGCAGGTGTCCTAATGGATGAACAAGACCAGGTTGGACAGGGCTTTAAGCAAAATGGCGTAGTGGAAGGTGTCCCTGCCCAGGGCAGGGGTCTGGAACCAGATATGTTTAAGGTCCCTTCCAACCCAAACCATTCTATAATTTGCTCTCTGGA